AGATGGCAGTGGTCAACTGCTGCCCTTACTAAATGAGTCATGACAGTTTTCCATAAACCCTTTCCTTCACACTTGCCAACTGCCCCCATCCTTACCTTGTCACCTGCCCCTCAGCCTTGTTTTTTGAAAGCAGAGAAAAAGGAGAACAATTCTTTGTCCCTCTTTTTAAGAGAATGGAAACTAACCCCAGATCATTAAGGATTCTTTAGCATGCCCATGGGTATAGATATATTTTCTGTCCTAAATGGCCCCTCCTTATTTTTCATCCAGGCCAGCAGCTGCAATGTTGAGTTGTAGCTGAAGCCCATGCTTCAGTCCTTTGGCTACCGTGACTGAGTCAGGCTTCATTGTGTATTGTTCGTGGGACTGTGGTTGGGTTGGGATTTGATCACACTGAGTCTTCTAGGCCTACATTTCAAAATGTATACGAGGTTTCTCTGAGGTGGGTTTAGTTGGATAGTGTTGACATTATGTGAGAAACTAGGATTTTTTTTTAATAAGTAGGTTGGTTGGTTGGTTTCAAAAGCAGGATAGCGTTACACCTTTTATGGGTTTAAAATATGAGTCATTCTTTGGGTGCAATCTAATTATTTTCAAGTTATACGTGGTAGTATCTCCAAATTTCTTATATTTGTGATTATAGATCTGCTGCTGAACTTTTTGAGACTTACAGCATGGCAACAATGACATTCAATCCTCCTGTTGAATCTTCACACTCCAAAAAGAAGGTATGTAATACTTTTTTTTTTTTTTTTGACAGGCAGAGTGGACAGTGAGAGAGAGAGACAGAGAGAAAGGTCTTCCTTTTTCTGTTGGTTCACCCTCCAATGGCCGCCGCGGCCGGCGCGCTGCGGCCGGCGCACCGCGCTGATCCGATGGCAGGAGCCAGGAGCCAGGTGCTTTTCCTGGTCTCCCATGGGGTGCAGGGCCCAAGCACCTGGGCCATCCTCCACTGCACTCCCTGGCCACAGCAGAGAGCTGGCCTGGAAGAGGGGCAACCGGGACAGAATCCGGTGCCCCAACCGGGACTAGAACCCGGTGTGCCGGCGCCGCTAGGCGGAGGATTAGCCTAGTGAGCCGCAGCGCCGGCCCAGTATGTAATACTTTTTACCTTTTAAGAAATTATTTATAAAGATGATTCACTCCCCAAATGCCTACAACAGCTAGAGCTGGGCCAGGCTGAAATCGAGCCTGGAACTCAAGTGGGTGGTGGGGACCCATATACTTGAGCTATCACCTGCAGCCTCTTAGGATGTGCACTAGCAGGAAGCTGGAATTGGAAGTAGAGCTAGAATTCAAACCCAGAGACTCCAGTATGGGATGTGGCAACACATGTAACAACTTAACTGCTGTGCCAAATGCCTACCTCTACTTTTATTTTGAAAAAGAAAAACCAAAATAATAAGTCTCCTAGTAACTCTAACTCCAGCTTGCTTAATTGTTTTATACATAGATTTTTTTCATTGAGGTGTTGATAATAGGATGGATGGTTAGGCTTGGAATTATACAGAGATGGTCATGAGACTTTTATTCAGTACAGGAAATGTTCAAGACTGAGCAAGCATCTGTCATTGTTATGTTTCATGTGTTCATGTCAGCTGTAGCCATTTTTAACTCTGCCTATTAACTGACTTTTGCTTATGGCCAAGAAAACTTCAACTCATACTTTTAATATTTTTCAGGATAAAATTGTACAAGGGGATTCACTTTTAAATGAAGATTTAAATCAGCTAGTCAAAAGACATTGTAATGAAGTTGCTACTCAATCACCCCTGGATTTCACCAAATATTTGAAAACATCGTTACGGTAGTAGAAAGAATGAAGAATCAGTAGACTTTGTTATATATTTGTGTGTGTGTGTGTGTGTGTGTGTATGCAGATACGCATCAAGATATGTTGTCTGCTCAGGACCTTTGTATACAAGGAAAACTTCCTAAGAGTGATTAGGAAGAGGACACATTACCCTTTGCATGGCATATGGCTTCACTCTATATTCTGAAAATGTTACTCATTAAGAGAATCAAGCCTTTTTTTCCTGCAGGTATTTGGAAATTTCTTTCTTCATGATGCTGTTTTTTGAAAAATTAATGTACATATTATAGTTAAAAAACACTTTGGATTGATTCATACTGAACTGTAGTTGCTATATAGAAGAGAAAAATCAAGACCATGAAAAGGTTTTTATTTTACCTAGTTAAGCTGCTCTTTATAAGCAAATACTCTTTAAAACTAAATATTTTTATTGCAATATCATAGATGCAAATGAGAAACATTCTAAATTTGAGTGAAAATATATTTATGAAAATTTTTGATAAAAAAAGCTGGAAATTAGTCCCAGGTTCATTATTATTTTTTTTTTTAAAGATGTATTTACTTACTTGAAAGACAGAGTTACAGAAGGAGAGACAGTGAGGTCTTCCATCCTCTGGTTCACTTCCCAAATGGCCTCGATAGCCAGAGGTGGGCCTATCTGAAGCTAGAAACCAGAGCTGCTTCTGGGAGTCTCACGTGGATGTTGGGCCATCTTTCACTGCTTTACTAGGCTATTAAGAGGGTTGGATGGGAAGTGGAGCAGCTGGGAAATGAACTAGTGCCCTATGGGATGCCTGTGCTGCAGGTGGAATCTTAACCTTACTATTGCACAGCGCTAGTCCCTGCTCCCCATTAGTTCTTTATAAATGATATACTTCAGCAGGTAGCCTCATTTAGCCTTCATTGTAGCTGCTTTCAAAGAATGTTTAATACAGTTGTAGTCTCTAAAGTTTTTTGCATTTTTAATTGACATGTCCTGGAAGGTAATTGGAAAAATTTCTCCAGGGTGGTAAAAGCAAGTCTAAGACTTTTCTGTATAGATGGTGGTGGTGGTGGTGGGGGCTTCATTTCGTTTTCCCTTTGTATAGGTAAAATGCCTATTGTAGCAGTACTTTATAGCAGCTTTCCAAATATTTTAGGGCTATCCAGTGAAATGCATGTGTCAGTGACTAACTTGTAAGTATTTTCTACTGTTGATAGTTGAATCAAAACATCTGTTTGATTCTTGTGAGAATTTGAAACATTGTACAGGAATCATATAGTAATATGGCCTGTTATTTTGGTCTGAAGCATAGAGCTCTTTTTCTCATGAAGTAAATGAAAGAAAATTCCTTTACTATTCCAGTAGAGTGGTAGGATATCAACTTAACAGTTGATGTCAATCTTTCAGCATAGTCTTGGGTGAATTATTGTTTATTTTGGAAAGGCAGAGAGACAAAAACAGAGAAAGGTACCTTTGATTAGTTCACTCCTGAGATGCCCACAATAGCCAGACTGGGCCAGATTGGAGCTAGAAACAACGAGCTGGTTCTCTCGTGTGGATGGCAGGGACCCAAGTTCTTGAACCAACACTTAATGCTTCCTAAGGTGCACATTAGCAGGAAGTTAGAATCAGAAGTGGAGGGGCCAGCGCTGTGGTGTAGTGGGTAAAGCTGATGCCTATGGTGCCAGTATCCCATATGGGCGCCAGTTCGAGTCCCAGCTGTTCCACTTACAATCCAGCTCTCTGCTATGGCCTGGGAAAGCAATAGAAGATGGTCCAAATCCTTGGGTCCTTGCACCCGTGGAAGAAGCTCCTGGTTCCGGATTGACGCAGTTCCAGCAGTTGCGGCAAGTTGGGGAGTGAACCAGTGGATGGAAGACGTCTCTCTCACTCTCTGTCTCTCCTTCTGTGTAATTCTGACTTTCAAATAAAAATCTTAAAAAAAAAAAATCAGAAGTGGAGCTGGGGAACCAGTGCTGTGACATAGCAGGTTAAGCCACAGTCTGCAGCCTAGGCATCCCCTTTGGGCACTGGTTCAAGTCCTGGCCACTCCACTTCTGATCCAGCTCCCTGCTGTGGCCTGGGAAAGCATTAGAAGATGGCCCAGGTGCTTCGGCCCCTGCGCACATATGGGAGACCTAAATGGAGCTCCTGGCTCAGCATGGCCCAACCGTGGTCTTTGTGACCATTTGGGGAGTGAACCAATGGGTGGAAGATCTCTCCTCTCTTTTTCTCTGCCTCTCTTGCTGTAACTCTGACTTTCAAATAAATAAAAGTTGAGGCCGGCGCCGTGGCTCACTTGGCTAATCCTCCGCCTGCGGTGCTGGCACCCTGAGTTCTAGTCCTGGTTGGGGCACCGGAGTACTAGTTGTGGTTGCTCCTCTTCCAGTCCAGCTCTCTGCTGTGGCCTGGGAGGGCAGTGGAAGATGGCCCAAGTGCTTGGGCCCTCGCACCTGCATGGGAGACCAGGAGGAAGTACCTGGCTCCTGGCTTCGGATTGATGCAGCGCCAGCCATGGCGGCCATTAGGGGAGTGAACCAACAGAAGGAAGACCTTTCTCTCTGTCTCTCTCTCATACTAACTCTGCCTGTCAAAAAAATAAATAAAAAGAAAATAAAGTTGAGCTGGGACTCAAACTTGGGTATTTCAACGTGGAATGTGGGCTTTCCAGGTGGCATTTTAATCACTGCACCAAACACCCACCCCTGTGATTTTTCTAGAAGTATTTTGTGAGGTCAAACTTTATTTTTAAATATTTATTTATTTTAGAAAGTTGGAGACAGAGAGAAATCTTACATCTGCTGATTCATTCCCCAAATAGCCGCAACGACCTGGCCCAGGCCAAAGGCAGAGCTTCTTCCATGTCTCCCACATGGATGCTGGGGCCCAAGCACTTGGGCCATCCTTCACTGCCTTTTCAGGCCATTAGCAGGGAGCTGGATTGGAAGGGGAGCAGCTGGGACTCAAACCGGCACCCATATGGGATGCTTACACTGCAGGCCATAGCTTTAACCTGCTGAGCCACAGTGCTGCTCCCTGAGGTCAGACTTTTTAGGCTTGATTGCTTCATGATGAGAAAGGTATGATTCAGCATGTAAATATTGGCTTACATATAGCCCATCCTTTAGATAGAAAACAAAACCTAGGAGTGTTACTAATTTGTGGGTAACCAAAGGTCTGTCCCCATAAGAGCACAAGTTACCATACCATGTCACAAATCATTTATTTTCCAAACATATACAAATACATTTATACTTCAGCAACAGGAACTGTAGTTTAGATGAAAATTCATTTGTAAAATAGAAATTCATCAGCTATTTTATGCTTGTATTATGTTTCTAATTTCTTGTTACATGTATATTTGCAGAGGGACCATAAAATTATACATCTAATATTTGAATGTCCTGTATGAATTTGATGATGAAATATACTTGTGCATTAACTTTATATGACCTTATGTTGATGAGTTTCTTTTTCAGAACCAATGCCATTATTCATCACATATGTACTTTGCTGAGGTCATACGAAGGTTTACTGTAGTTTTTTTGTGTCTTAACCTAATATTGAGCATTTACCATGAACTTAGCACTATGCTATGCACTTAAAAGTGAATTGGGGTAGTAATGGGCATAAGACAGTTTTAGTCTTTCATGATTTATGCTGAGGCAAATCATTCACACAGCACTTAAAAAAAAAAAGCAGTATTATCTAATCAATATTAGGAATTATTTCAAAGTTCAGATACTTATGTCATCTGATATAGGGATGGTTTCAGAGAATGCTTTTTGACAGGCTTCAGCATAGTCTATTTTGAATCTAAGACATGTATTTCAAAGATACTCATTTCAGGTATTCTTATGTCAAAGTTCTTAGCCACCAGCCAAGAATTGCTTATAGGAAATTTAAATATAGATACGGCAGAAAACACATACATTGTTAACAGAGGATCAAGAAAATGTGTTGACCCAAATCTGAACTCTGTGGAAGAGGTAGTCTCCCTTTTCTGATACCTTTTTGGGGGAACAGGTATGTTCTTTTTCTGGACTCACTGCTGATGTGAGAGAAGCAAATGAAAAGGGATCAGAGACTGCCATCTTGAGAGCACTTGCCGTATAGGATGCCTTTCACTCTGTCAAGTCTAAGATCAAAAACAGTAGTGAGGAAAATCCTAGTCTTGTTTATTAGCATGGAAGCACATCTGTAAGAGCTTTGTGTTTGAGTTTACTTAGTTTTACTGGATCAGAAAGCACCCCCAGTTACTTTGCAGAATTAAGGAAAGCCTGTAGGTAAAGTGGAGAGATGTACAGAGATACTGATAGGGAGGATTTAGGATCTTGATAGGAAGATTGAATTAAAAAGGAAACTCTACAACATCCTTGGGGACATACTTTGATTAATGAGCCTCAGTGTCTCCAGAGCCACTGAGATAGAAGGACTTGACAAAAGCCAAGTTTGGTAAAAAACAAGGCACTTGATCCTCCACTTTTGCTGAGTCTACACTCTGTATTTATCCCCAGCTGGAGGACTGTAAGTAACACATGAAACAAGGACAGCACTTTCTGCTCAGATAATATTGTTATTTGCTATAGTTTATCCCAACTAATCCTAACTTTGTAGCACAACACTCTGGTAATCTTACATCATATTGCAAAACAGCCAATTCTAGATGAGCAAGTGACTGAGAGGAAGTTAAACTGTATTATTTCTCCATGTCACACATTGTCTTTTTAAAGTGGGCAGACTGATAGAATTCATACTTTAATTCTCCTTTCTTTTCACTCTTAGTGAAGCTTATTAAGTACTATAATAAAACAAACTTGGATGTTTATTCTTTTCATTTCAGGTTAAAAGTATGAAGTGGTAGTTGGTACAGTCCTGGTGGCTGTTTTAGATGCATCATAAATGCATTTGGTATACTGATAATGGCTTTGTAATTCAGATAGGCTCTAAAGAAATGTTCATATTTTTGACAGACACTAGGTTGTGCTGGTCAGTTGTAATGTAAAGTAGACCCTCTACTTAAAAACCCAGACTCAAATAGAGTATATGCGTTTACCTCAAAATGTGATGAACTACCAGATTAGGATGCAATATAGGCAGTAGTCTGGGTTCACTCTTGCAAAACAACTTAGTCTCCCATTCAGTCTCAGAGTAGGATTCAGATTTGTGCTGTATCCAAACCAACTACATTAAAGCTTATGGGGGTGAGGTAGGTGGACTAGTGCTTAGAAAGAGTCAAAGCCAAATGAAGAACCTAGAGAGAACAGTCTTCCTTTTCATTTCTTGTTGCCTCTAGAGTAGTAATCCAGTTTCCAACACATGGTAAGGCAAACCATTTGATCTATTATAGAAGTTTGAAAGTGTTTTGAATGCTGCAGCATTGTGCATTTGTTACAGACTATTTCATTTAAAAGAAAGCTTATAGTAGCACTGTATCAAACTGTTATAGTCTGAATTCTGTTGACAAGAAAATGGTGGTGGTTCTGGTGTTAAGGCTTTGACTTACTAAGATCTTTAAATGACATGAAAGCTGTGTGATGTATTTTACCACTGCAATTTTTGGGATATGCAAGAAATATGAGGACTACTTTATTCATTTTTAGAATTCTTAAAAATTTCTGAAAGCAAAAGTTAGGATTTTAGTGTGCTTCATAATTCAAAGAAAAATACCTTGAAATTTAATAGCAATTTAAAGATAGTTTGGGATTTACTTTAGAGGAAAATGTAATTTGTTTCGTACCAAGAAGAATCCTTTACACTGAACTAATAGTTTTGTACAGCAAGGTCTTAAAAAATAATTTACATTAAATGGCAAGTATTGCTTGGATCGATAGCTCTTAAGCAGAAATGAAGCTCTTTTACATGAAACTCAAGCCCATTTCAGATATTCATAACATATATTTTCATTTTAGGAGGGTTGTCTTCAAATAGTGAAGTAGAAAAGTAACACTTCTAACCCATTGAATATCAAGGAAGTTATGTCTAATAAATATATAAGTACAGTGTCAGTACAAACTTTGAAAAATAAATAAGTTTACCTTAAACACCAACTCAAATCTATTTTTCTTTTAAAAAATGGTTAGGTTCCTTGTTAAGACATCACAACTCAGTAGAATATAAATTACACATCATTTTAAATTCATTTTGTGAAAAACAGGAAGGCAATAATCTGTGAATATATAAGCAATAACCGTTTTTAAAAAACTCATGTCTTTTCTATATGTAAAAAATTCTAAAGAAGAGTGCACTATTGTACACAGTATAGGAACTGCATTGACTTAATTTTAATGAATTTTACGTTGTAGGACATATTTACATTTGCAATGCCCGAAAGCTTCCAATTCTCAGCCAAAATGTATGGCTAACACTGGCTCCTTGTCCTCAGTTCTCAGGTTGGAAAACTATGGCTCTTGGGCCACATCCAGCCTGCCAACAGCTTTTGTGTGGCCTTTGAACTAAGAATAGCTTGTACATTGTTAAGTGGTTGAAAAAATTATAAGAAGATATGTGAAATTCATACCAAATTCTAATTTCAGTGTCCATCAGTAAATTTGTTTTACCAGAATCTAACCATGTTCCTTCCTGTACGTACTGTCTGCAGCTGATTTTGTATTACAGTGGTAGAGGTGAGTAGTTGGAACAGAAACCATTTGGTTGCCAACTCTAAAATATCGCGCATCTGGCCCTTTACAGATATAGCTTTGCCGACCCTTGTTCTAATTCAGTTATTGCAAGCTTATGATGGGTTTTCCAACTGCTTACATTTATAAAATGGCAATCCCTTGGGCTTCCTTCCTTCATTGGTCAGTACATTAACTGGTAGTTACCAACTTGTGCCATTCTGCTTGTCTTCAACATGGACCTTACATCGTGTGTGACAGTTTCAGTTCAGAAATAATCAATTTCCAGTTTTAAGTGTAACAGAAATAAGGAAATTATATTTTTTCTGCCATGTTTGTTCTTTAACTTCTTGCTGGGAGAGCTTCACCTGTAATGTAATATACATAGACTAATTAGTATATTGAAAATGAAGCAGAAACTTTTATAGCATAGCAAGTATTCAGAGTTGTTTAACCAACAGAAACCCAGCAGTGGTGACTAGGTTTGGGGGGACAGCTTGTTTGCTAAAAACACAGTGTTAGAACATGATGTTCCTAATGTTGGAACATGAGCTATTTCTGCCCTGGAACACTACATTCTTTAGGAAAAAAATTTTATTATAATGTTAAACTCTTCAACTTGAAGAGAAGGCAGAATTCTTTCAATTCATTGTGCATTCAGATAAGAGTAAGGTGAATATTTACTTCAGATTCTTAGAATTACTGTAACTTCTTAAAGCAGATAGCATGAATTATGTCAAATGAATGATGCCACATGTCTTTTTTCTATAGGAAAGCAGAATTTAGAGGCAGTCATCTAAATTACTACCACCCTTCCCATTCTAAAATACAAGTAATGAAAAATGTTCACTACAGGGGCTGGTGTTACGGTATAGTGGGTTAGTTGCCACCTGTGATGCCAACATCCCATGTGGGCACTAGTTTGAGTCCTGGCTGTGCTACTTCCAATCAGGCTCTCTGATAATGCGCCTAGGAGAGCAACAGAACATGATCCAAGTGATTGATCAGATCCCTTCCACCCATGTAGGAGACCCCAGTGGAGTTCTGGGCTCTTGGCTTCTGCCTGACCCAGCCATGGCTGTTGTGACCATGTGGGGAATGAACCAATGGATGGAAGATTCACTCCTTTTCTGTTCCTCTCTCTGTGTAACTTTGCCTTTCAAATAAATAAATCTCTTTAAAAAAATGTTCACTACAGCATGCATATTAAGACAAATTTCTAGTGGAGTTGTATTTTTTTTTTTTTTTTAAACATATGAAAAACAGAGTGACAGGGGAATGGGCAGAGAGAGACTGAGATCTTCAGTTTACTGGTTCGTTCCCTAATTGCCCACAAGGGCTGGGCCAGGCTAAAGCTAGGAGCCTGGAACTCCATCTGGGTTTCCCACATGGATTGGAGGGACCCAAGTACTTTGACCATCATCTGCATCTTTCCCTAGCACATTAGCAGGAAACTGGATTGAAAGTGTAGTAGCCGGGACTCAAATTGGTACTGTGATACGGGATGTGGCAGTCCCAAGTGGCTGATTAACTACCTGTGCCATAACACCCTCTCCTGGAGTTGTAGTCTTAGCCTACTAAAGCAATCGTACAGTATACAAAGGGCTTCTGAAATATAGGGTGGTACATTCACTACCATGAGTGTTAATTTCACTCTATCCTTCAACGAGTTACAATATAGGTGTGATAAGCACCTATACAATTTATTTGCTGCTAAGTTCTGAATATGAAAAACAATATTTAAGTTTTGACTGCTCTCCTTAACATACTCACAAAGCCATTACCATACTTTGTCACTTCCCTAAAAAGGCCTCAAGCTCACTTGACTTTTGGAGGAGGGACTGATTTAGCAACACTGGGACAGTAAACAAAGTCTGGAACTTAAAAAATTGTAATCCCAGATGTAACTCAGCAGAAAAAGGGTGCTGAACTTCCTTGGAGCTTCATTATCTTATTTACACTCAATATTATCTGAGGCTGTGATGGGAATTGTTACTATAGTTGTGAGATTTCTTTCTGATGAGACTACATACAGAATCTCAACAACCTTGATCAGAATAGATGTATATACAGATTCTTTGAAAGGGGAGATTTCCTGTATTTGGCATTGCTTTTTAATTTTTTTAAGGAATACAAATTTCATCAGTACCACTTTAGGAATATAGTTATGCTTTTCACAATACCTGCCTTCTCACCCCTCCTCCCTTTCCCCCCCTCCCTTCTCCATTAAGATTCATTTTCAGTTAACTTTGTATACATAAGATCAACTCTATAATGGTAAAGAGTTAAACAATTTGCACACACATGCACATTTTGAGGCTGTTTAAAATCAAGTTTGGTTCCACCAAGAAGTGTCAGTGAATTCTTTGTGAGCTTGTGTAATTTTGCAGCAAAATATATATTTATTTGAGAGAACATTTCCATCCACTGGTTCACTCCCTCAAATGCCCTTAACGGCTGGGGCTTGGCTAGACCAAAGCTAGGCGCTGTGAACTCACGCCAGGTCTCACCCCAGGTGGATCACAGGAACTTGATTACCTGTTTCCCAGGGTCTTCGTTAAGAGGAAGCTGGAATCAGGAGTGGAGCTGGGACTGAAACTCAGGTCCTTTGATATGGCATCCCAAACCAGTATTTTAAACTGCTAAACCAAACTCCTTCCCCCAATTTTATATGCAAAATCCCTGATTGTGATAGATATATGGTGATACTCTCTATAGTATAATCCTGCCACAGTGCATTCACTATACGATTGGTCTTGTGAATTTTAAATTTTGGAACTACAGTGAAATAGGTACAGTTGGGCTTTAATTCTCCCTTAACTTCATTACAAAATTAAATGATGGGTGAGTGGATTAATGGTTAAGATGCTGGGTCCCACTGCAGATTACCCAGCTGTGGCTACTGGCTCCAACTTCTTGATAATGCAGACCCTGGGAGGCAGTGATAATATCTCAAGTAATTGGGTGTTTGCCACTCACATGGGAGACTTAGATTGAGTTCCAAGCTCCTGGCTTTGGGTCCGGTCAGCACCGGCCATTGTGGTCATCTGGAGGAATAAACCAGCAGATGGGAACTATCTTTGTGTTTATCCATCTCTCCCTCAAACAACGTAAAGACAAATGAAAGAAACAAAAACTCTTAAGTGAAAAGAATAAGCTTATGTTTTATTTCCTAACATGCCTTTTTGTTCAGGTTCCATATAATATGCTTTAAAACAGAACAAATGATACTCTCTGTGAATACCAGACAGTGAGTTCTAGACTGATAAAATAAGGCTTTGAGATACGTTGGTTAAGTTGGCTGCCTTGGGGTCCTTTGCTTAGTTATCTACAAAATAAGGAGGTCTAATATTATAAAAGGTCAAGCTACATATGAGGATACTGCAAAAACTTTGTGGAGAAATGAATTTTCTTTTTTCTTTTTTTTTTTTTCTTTTTGACAGGCAGAGTGGATAGTGAGAGAGACAGAGAGAAAGGTCTTCCTTTGCCCTTGGTTCACCCTCCAATGGCCGGCGAGCTGCGGCCAGCGCACCGCACTGATCTGATGGCAGGAGCCAGGTGCTTCTCCTGGTCTCCCATGGGGTGCAGGGCCCAAGGATTTGGGCCATCCTCCACTGCACTCCCTGAGTTTATTTTGGTGCAAAAAATTTTAAAATCTGTACATTTTTCATGATATGCATATTTCATGAACTTTTTAAAGACCTCATGTGTGCATGAATTTCAAAATATTTTGCCCCTCAGTAAACTTACAGTCTCATTTTCCATGACCTTTTTGCAGGATCCTTGTGTATCTTCAGAGTCCCTTCCATAGTAAAGGTACCAGTCTTACCTGACTTCAGGTGAAACCCTCCTCTTGGACAAGATCAAATGTAGTACTAACTGTGCCTCACAGAGTAATTTAAGTTGAAACCTGTCTCAGAATGGTGCAATGACAGCATACCTGGGTAAAACATGCTGCCCTTGGTCACTGCCGATAATCCATTGTGTCTCCAGGGGACAAACCACACATGGGTTTCTCCTCCTTGTTTTGGATGTTTTCTGAGGCTAAGAGCTGAGAAGGTGATGTGAGTCCTCGAGGCTGTTTAGTTGACTTGGTGAACTTTTTGAGTTCACTGGCAAAAGAAATGCCTTTTCTTTTATCTTCTCGGGAAGCCTGTGGGGAAAAAGAATCTTTCATTGGTACTGGGTTAAACTGAGAGTCCTCAATCCATGTACCATGTCAGAAGGAGCTCTTTCCTCTTCTGCTAAATAGAGCTTTGGAAAGAAAGGCTCTTCTCAGAGGGGAGCACCTGTTTTTTCACCGTGAAAACATAGCCAAATAATTTTCTCCCAGCTAAATTCCTTGACTTTAAGAACTTTCTCCTAGATTTCACTAGCTCTCAAATCTGATTCTGGTGTGGTTATGAATATCAAAAATTTATGAAGAGTGTAAAGTAACTTTTAAAACATTACCTGCACCTGTTCCTTTAGCTTAAGGATGAATTTTCCCGCACCTTTCCACTTGCTTTGGGCTTGAAACACACACTCCTGATCCAAAAGGACTCGCTGAGAGGGCTTTGGGGTAGAAGACTTCTTGGTGCCAGTGTCTTTCACCACCTCTTCCAGAAGCACGTAGTCACTTGGGTTGGGATTGCTCAGGATGCTGTAGGAATATTTGGCTTTGCACAAGGTCTGAAAGATAAGTTAAAGTCAACTGCATAAAGAAAGACACAGTACCTCCAATATTTGCATTCATTCTAAATGAAACTTTATGGTTGAAAAATGCAGACTTACAGATGGAAGGGATCTTCCAAAGCAGATCACCAAACTCCTCATTTCACATTAGTGTAGTTACAACTTTTAAGATACTTTACCACATTACCTTACTAAACTTCCCAATAGTCTGTGACTTAGGTGGTATTATCCCTATTTTGAGATGAAGAAGCTTAACCTTTTAGAAGGTAAGTAGATTCCAGATTATGCACAACTGATAACATAACAAAGACTTGAACCTGATATTCTTCACAACGAAATGCTGATAGGAAGATCATTACAATCACCAAGGAGCAGACTCCTGCCTCTGGAAGCTATTCTGTCGCACAGGCTGCCTCCTTGTCACAGTCTTGTATTCTGAAGGAATTTCAGAAGTCACTTGGTCTCCTTTTTCATTTAGTACAAGAGTATCTTTGATTTATGATGTGTTGGAGCCAACTGGAATAGGCTAGTGAATTTGGACAGGAGTTGTTTCTACAACAGAAATAAGTTAGGGAGGTTTTTTCTTTTAAAGGGAGCTAGACTAAGGCACAGACCCAAGGTCTTGTTCAGGATCTCATAGTAAGATGCAGAGCTGTAGTTTGAACCTGGATCAATTTGATGTGGGTCTGTGCTCTTAACCATTATTATGCTGTATCATTTCTCAGGCAAGTGCTTAGTAAATGCAAACCACAACAGGCTATGAGGGAAGTACACAGTTCTCTGAACCTGTGTGGACAAAGAAACATGATCTAGAGGAAGGGAGTGGCCTTCTGCTTGTCTTCTGTAGGGTCCTTAAGAGATGGTCAGGCATCTTTGGGACAAGGGAATGATCACTGCAGCCTCGCTTCCTAGATCTGGTATCATCAGTGCCTGATAGAGATCCAAACTCCTGGTAGATACCAGTTCACTGTTGAAGGAATGAACCAATAGCTTCCAGCCTTCGGAGCGCTCTCTTCCTTTCCCCCCATTGCTCTAGAACTTGATTCATAAATTGAGCTGTTGACAACTAATTCTAACAACTGATGTCAAGGAAAGGACTGAGGTGGGGAAGGAAGGGGCTGTCACCTGCTGAATGACGTCCTGTGCAGTGCTGACACGGGGTGCCTTGATGACTGTCCGTGGCTGCTCTGGGGAAACGTCATGCACCTGGACAAAGAAGCTCTCTTCCTCTGAGCTCAAGATCACCTCTCTGTCATCTTGAACAATGGTTTTCTCTTCTGGGATCTTTGTTGAAAGGAGAAAAAAGTATGAGTAATTGGTAGAGAAAAATCTAGCAAAAACAGAGCTGTTACTTAGGAATGTGGAAACAGTTCTTAGTTCTATATCTTGTATACTTTGTTTCATAAACTAGTCTAAAAGAAGACACCTGTCTCTGGAGAGGAAGAAATGTATTTCTCCTGATATTGACAAACCCACAAGGTCTGACCCACAGTAAGCCTGTTCACCTCCTATTAGCTATGGATTTGGAGAGTCCAAAAGAACACAGTGAAGTTCATTTAAGAGAATCCCACCCATTTCCATGTAGCTTGTGAGCACAGAAGAAATGCTGGACATCTGAAATGTGAAACAAGTGAAATTGTCAGCCAAGCTGAAGGAAGCAAAACCCACAGTACAAAGGCTGAAATTGGCTGGAGGCAAGCTGCATTGAATACAAGTATCAGCAAAATTTTCAAGCAGCATAGAAGTATATCAATAAAACAAACTTGTCCCCTACTCTTTTTTTCTCCTTTTTATCTCCACCTCATTCTCCACACAAAAAAACCTCTGATGTTAGGATATGTCCTGAATTTAGCCAGGGGTATTTATCTCCACCTAATTCTCCACACAAAAAGCCCTCTGTTGTTAGGATATGTCCTTCTGAATTTAAGCCAGGGGTATACAAGGTTATTTTTGTCTGAATAAATATTTTATATACACAATAAACCCCTGCGATGCTATGAATTGAGATATATGATTGTAAGGTGGCTCCTGTTCTTTATCCCCATTGTCAGATGAGGGTAGCTTAAAGTTCTCTTTAGAAGGGGGACTTAAGAGGGTAGGAGTGTCAAGGCAAGTAAATGGTAGGCAAACCCATCCAGAAATGAGGACTTGCCAGAAACTCCTGTCCGCAGAATTCTAACCTATTCTCCCATCCAAGCTACTGAAATGGTGCAAACTAAGCAGAGAAAGCCAGGAATCTAACTAACCTGGAACTTCAACCAGCCACATGACCCAGAAGGGTCTCCACTGATATTTAAATAAAAGAAAAAAACTGCATCTAGGTGGCACCAAACTAACAAGAACTGGCTTCTGGAGCTTGCCCCTCATCTGCTTATACCTGTCCCAATCATTTCCTTAACCTTCCAACCATTTTGTGTTAAGAGTTTGCAAGACTCAGTTGTTTGGCCCACCTACTAGATAGTGGTGAGAGGGGAGAAGAGTTATAAAATGAGACTGTACTCTCCTACTTAATACTCTTCTACAATTTGGTTTTTCTCCCCCATTTAAAGGAGTGTGCTCTTTGGGGACAGGGCTGTAGTGTTGTGGGTTAAACTACCTGCAATTCCAGCATCCCATATGGACGCCGGTTCAAGTCCTGGCTGCTGCACTTCGGATCCATCCCCCTGCTAACACCTGGGAAGGCAGTGAAAGATGGCCCAAGTCCTTGGGCCCCTGCACCCACCTGGGAGACCTAGATGAAGCTCCTGGCTTTGGCCTGCTAATGCACCTGGGAAAGCAGTGAAAGACGGCCCAAGTCTTGGGCCCCTGTACCCACGTGGGAGACCTAGATGAAGCTCCTGGCTCCTGACTTCAGCCTGGCTACTGAACCAGCAGATGGAAGACTTCTCTCTGCTTCTCTTCCCTCTCTCTCTTTAAAATAAAGTTTTAAAAAAGTGTGCTCTTTATTTCATGTCCATTTGCAGGGATCTTAGTGCATAATAGGATATGGCTGCATAATATGTCATTGCATTGATCATAATTAGCCAAATTGGGAGTAACCAAAAACCAGGTAGAAATTAAAAAAGGTTCTCTAAGTTATCACATAAAATGTTCCAACAACAATGCACTAAGCATTACTTTTAAGAGATCAACTTGGAGCCTCATTCAGAACATTTTCACTTTCTGGGTTTCATCCATGTTAGAAGCCGCAGGTTTGTGAACAGATGATAAAACCAGGAGAGGGGTTCCAAGATGGCAGGAAAGCAATAGATCGGTCTGATTTAGGCAGGCGAAATTAATATTAAAAAAAGTGGAGAAAGTACACTTTCAAGGGAAACTACAGGGGGAGGTCCTGGGAAAGCAGTGGAAATGCCCTGGACCCATATGGGATGTACAGTTGGAACAAGAAGCAATGAAACAACAAAGAACCCAGCAGCTTAGATCTGGGGGAAAAAAGCACCTGCCCTGGCAAACCAGGTGAGATTGGACTACACCGGCCTGTGCTGCTGTTGATAGAACTGGAAGGAGAGTTGCATGAACTGCACTATTTTTGAGTCTGGCCTGGATCCCGCAGGGCACCAGGGCAACTACTCAACCTGCGGTGGAGGGGTGGGGGAGCAGGAAGTCTCTCGCTCCCCCCTTTCCCCTACAACAGTGCCCTGCAGCCAGTGGTGGGAGGGTTGGCGCCATTTTTGGATATAAGGAGGTAGCAGCTGCTCCAGCTCTTGCGTGTGCACCCAGCAACTATCAGGGCCACCCTACACCCAATCAGGAAGGGTAACCACAGCAGTTCAAGAGCAACTAATGACACTATCCACTGTGTGAGCTGCAACCACTCGGCAATGGGTGTGGAGGGGGAGCCATCCCTACAAAGGGAAGTGCCACCTGCAGGACTCCATTGTACCAGTTGTGAAGTGAGTGGTGCTGTGGCTGATGGGTATTGTGCACATCTGTGACCCAGGGATCATACCAGAGAGAAAAACCTGTGTTCCCCACAGACTTTGAATCTGGTTGGGAGGACTGGACTCTATCCAGCGGGCTGGAACACACACGGACAGTGGCTCTGGGAACACCTCAGGCTCTGTGGACGGGGCAAGCTAATAGGGTGGAGGCACCCCACCTCTACGCCTTGTTCCTGAGAGCCCTGGGTACTGAGACTTGAGAATACACTGAGAGGAGGTAGCATTTACTTGGTTTCCAGGCAATCACAGTGTGCTGCTGCACACTCTCAGAGATACTTGGTTGCTTAGAGCAGCTTATAGCACAGGGAACTGTGCTCACAGGAAGGACTGTGTGGCTCATGTGTGCATTCATATGGCAGTGCAGATGAGTGTTGAACACTGGGGACTAACACCTGGGTATTCCTCAGATTGGAGGAGAAGGGAAAGAGTGGTCCCACCAACAGAGGTGACAATTCCTCTCCATCCAGTTACCAGAGAGTTACCACACACAACTTGGGTGTTATCCTGGATACTTGCCCCATCCTGGAGCATTGACCAGAGCTCCCTGGCCACACCCATCACACACCTCTTGGTATCCATGGAAAGTGTAGACATCCCATTAAGCCACGGAAGCATAGCTCTAAGCCAACAGAGGAGGAAAAAAAAAAAAACTCTACAAATGCCTCAAAATAAATGCATAAACTCATTGAACAACAATAAGGAAGACAATATTTCAATATTAGAATGTGAACATTAAGAGATTGAGGATATATTGGAAATGGAATTCAAAAAATTAATCAGGATTACTCAAAAGCAATCAGAAGCAAATCTGTAACCTAAAGAAAATCATATATGATATGAATGAAAAATTTTCCCATGAAATTGAGATTTTTAAAGGGAAATCAAAATGAAATACTAGAAATGGAAAATCCAATAGAACAAATAAGTACAGTGGAAAGCCTTAACAACAGAGTTGGTGAGGGAGAAGAAAAAATATCTGAGCTAGAAGACGAATCTCTGGAAATTTTACAGTCAGAGCACTCCCCCCCCCCAAAAAAAAAAAAGAAATTAGAAAACTTAAAAACGGTGTTGGAGATCTATGAGATAACTATCAAATGACCCAACCTATGGGTCTTAGTGCCTGAAGGTATGGAAAGAGAGAAGGGACTAGAAGGCCTATTTAGTGAAGTGATTACAGAAAACTTGCCTAATTTGAGAAAAGAATGTACAAGAAGCACACAGAACAGACATGACCAGAAAAGATATTCACCATAACACACTGCAGTCAAACTGTCCACAGTAAAGTATAAAGAAAAGATTATAAAACGAGCATGAGAGAAATGTCAGATTACTTTCAGAGGATTTCCAATTAGACTCACAGCCAACTTCTCATCAGAAACCCTATAGGCTAGAAGACAATGGCAAGATATAGTCCAAATCTTAAGAGGAAAAAAAAAAGAAACTCACCCAGAATAGTGTACCCTGCAAAGCTCTCATTTACAACTGAAGGTGAAATTAAGACCTTCCATATCAAACAGAAATCGAATTTGTCACCACTCGTCCATCCTTACTAAAGGAGCTAAAGGATGTGCTACACACAGAAACACAGAAAGCAAGCCATCATCATAAAAAAAGGTAAAGATAAAATCCTCCAGTGAAAGTACAAAAGAAATCCAAATTGAATGACAGGAATATTCACAGAAAAATGGCAGGGCCAAGTAGTTACATTGAATGTAAATGGCCTCAACCGTCCTGTTAAAAGATACAGACTGGGGACTGGCACTGTGGCGTAGCGGGTAAAGCTGCTGCCTGCAGTGCTGGCATCCCATATGAGCACTGGTTTGAGTCCTGGCTGCTCCATTTCTGATCCAGCTCTCTGCTATGCCCTGGGAAAGCAGTAAAGGATGACCCAAGTCCTTGGGCCCCCAAACCCACGTGGGAGATCTGGAAGAAGCTCCTGGCTCCTGGCTCCTGGCTTTGGATTGGCACAGCTCTGGCCGTGTGGTCCATTTTGGGGGGTGAACCAGCAGGTGGAAGATTTCTCTCTCTCTCCCTCCCTCCCGCCCTTTTTTCCTCCCTCCCTCTCTGCCTCTGCTTCTCTGTAACTCTCTTTCAAATAAATAAATAAATATAAAAAAAAAAAAAACAAAGAAAGCTACAGACTGGCCATATGGATTAAAAAATCAGACCCATCTATTTGCTGCCTACAAGAAACATACCTCACCAACAAAGATACACATAGACTGAAGTAAAAGGCTGGAAAAAGATAGTCCATGCTAACAGAAAGAAACAAAAGGGCAGGTGTAGCCATTCTAATATCAGAAAAAATAGACTTTAATACAAAAACTGTTAAAAGAGACAGAG